AGGAAAGCCACAACGTGACATCATTTTGCACCTGTCAGAATGGCTGTCACCAAAAAGATGAAAGATTAACAAGTATCAGCAAGCTGGTGGAGAAAAGGGGACCCTCGTACACTATTTGTGGGAATATAAATTAGTATAGCCATTACGGAAAAGTATCAAGGTGCCATAAAAAATTAAAAATAGAATCACCACATGAACCAGCAACCCCACTACCAGGTGTACAGCTCACCCCTGACCCCACAGGTCTGAACCGCTCGGGGCCACTTACAGGCAGATGGTCTCCTGCCTGTCCCACCCCTGAAACTGGAAGACCAACCCGCCTATGCTTCCTCCTCAGCCTGCTCCATGGGAGACGACAGGATGGTGACCTTTCTGGGGATCCAGTTCCACTTAAGGAACAGTAAATATATTCTCTCTTTCTTATGATTTTTCTTAACAATATTTTCTTTTCTGTTGCTTACTTCATTGTAAGAACACACGTGTAATATGTATAACATACAAAATATGTGTTAATCAACTGTTTCTTTTATTGGTAAGACTTTAGGTTAACGGCAGGCTGTTAGTAATTAAGTTTTGGGGGAGTCAACAGTTACATTCAGGTGTCTATGCAGGGGGTCTGTTACCCTAACTCCCACGCTGTTCACGGATTAACTGCGTATTGAAAGGAAATAAAACCATCGCACGGAGGAAACATCCACACTCCCCACGTCCAATCACGGCGGCACCATTCACAGAAGCCGAGCTGCGGAATCAGCCTGTGTCCATCAGTGAATGAACGGACGGAGCAGGTGTGGTGTCCGAGCGCACAGCCCTAAAAAAGGAAAGACATCCTGTCTCTCGCGACAAGGCGGGGGAACCCGAGGGCACTGTGTGAAATGAAATAAGCCGGACCCAGAAAGACAGTTTCCACACCATCGCATTTATATGTGGACTTTGAAAAGGCAGAACAGAATGGGGGTCCCCAGGGCTGGGGGTGCGGCGATGGGGCGATTCTGGTCCAAGGGCACAAACCCCCAGACAGGAGGAGGTAAGTTCAAGGGTCCTGTCGTACAACCTGGTAATTAAAGTTAACAATAGACTGTTTACTTGAAAATTGCTGAGACAGTAGATCGTAAATGTTCTAGCCACACAAAAACACTAAGCATACACGGCGACGGTACGTAAGCTTGACTCACCCCTTCCGCAGTGCACGCAGGCGTCAAAGAGGCATGTCGTATGCTATAAATTTATATAATTTTTTATCTGTCAGTTTAAAAAATAAATGTTACAAATACAACTGCTGATGCTTGACAAGGATTGTGAATCCTGTCTCAGGTAAAGGAAGGAAGATGACTTCTTAATAAAGCCTTTGTTATATGAAAAAATAAAACATTTTAAAAATGTTTATGTACTTCCTTATTTTTTATACTGTGGTAAAAGATATGTAATATCAAATTTATCATTTTCGCCATTTTGTGAGTGCACAGTTAGGAACACTCACCCTGGCATGCAACCATCACCACTATCCATCCACAAAACTTTTTCATCTTCCCAGAGAAACTCTGGACCAATGATGTAACTCCCTGTCCTCCAGCCCCAGGCAAGCACCATTCCAATTTCTGTCTGTGAATGGGACTCCGGCAGGGACTGGATGTAAGTGGATTCATAGAGCATTGTCTCTTTACGACTGATCTCTTTCAGTGCCTGTGACCGGCTCATTTCCTTCAGCAAAATGTGCTGTGTTGTGCTAGAATTTCCTTCCTTTTTAAGGCTAAATAACGGTCCACTGTTTGTGGACACTGCATTTTATTTACCTTTAGCTATCGTGAATGATGCTGCCCTGAACGTGGGTGTTGAAGGGCTACATGTTTTCAACTTTTAATTTACACAGACCACTTCCATTATTTCTATTTCTGTTATTATATTAAAAGGAAAGGAATATAGTTTAATCATCCACTTTCTTTTTTTTTTTTTTTTT